TTCTGATTTTGTATGCTTAATATGTTTGTTTAAGGTCACTTTTGTGTTAGGGGTTGTCTACCCCCTCTTAGGCCTTGTTTGGCCTTGCTTTTGTGCCTTCTTTTTAAGCTTTTGGGCCCACCTTGTTTTGACCTTCTCACCACTGAAACTCAAAGCAATTTTAGTGGTGGAAGTGGTGTTTTGAGGTCCCAATAAGGATCCCCTCTCCTTGTGTCTTCAATACTTACTTCATTAGCCTCATGTGTGAGCATGTTTGTTAAGCTTATGTTGGCCATATCTTAGCTTGTATTTGGAGTTATTTTTCTATGGCATACCACTGTTTTTACTTGGTATAGTCACTCCATGCATGCCTTATACACTTGTAGTGTAAATCTCATAAACTAGTCTTGTATGCTTCATGAACTAGCATGTCATTCTAGCTTGTTTCAAGTCCATTTCAGCATGTTTTTGGTGATGTTTTACCATGTCATACCTTCGTTACGGTTTGGTTTGGTCACCCCTTGCATTCTCCTTGCACTTAGAGTGCAATTCCTTGAATTAGCCTAACATGCATCATGCCTTAACATGTCATTCTAGCATGCTTTTGGATTAACTCTAAGAAGCTTTTGTCTATGTTTTAACATGATTTAGCTCTAATTTGTGTTGTTTTGGCCATGCATGACTTGCTTTGTATAGCCATTGGTTCAATCTAGCTTGTTAGCTTTGTGTGTCAAGTCCACTAGCATGCATTAATTGGACTATTTGAATGATTTAGTATCATTTGTAATGTGATTTCAGTCTATGTTTCATGTTCATGCACTTGCATTTTTTACTCATTCAATGCGTTTGAGAGTTTACCCCTTTATGCCTTAACATGAATCATTGCGTATGCCTTCATGCTTAAGCTTGCGAGCCATCATTTCAATGTGTTTTGGGGGGTATTTTGCCATGATATAACTCTAATTTTTTTTGGTTAAGTCATCTCATGCTTGGTCTTAATAGGTGTAGTGTAATCCACCTTATTTGCCTTGCATTCATCATGCCTTATACCCTTCATGCTTGCTTGTTTTGGCTTCCTTTCATACATGTTTTAGTATCATTTTGACATGTTCTAGGACTGTTTTGGGTTGCCTTTGCCATATGCCTCATGCTTTGTATAGCTGTAGTGCAATTAGCCTTGCTAGCTTTGTGTTTTGATGACTCATGCATGCTATCTTTAAGCTACTTAGATGATTTGGCATCATTTAATACTTCATTTCAGAGCTTATAGCATGACTATGTTCCCACTTCTTTCATGCTTTGAATGCCTTTGAGTATTGTGCATTGTTGCCTTATTGTGGTCTAGCATGTATGCCATCTTGCCTAGGTCCTTAGGCCCCCATCTCAGCATGTTTTGGTCTTTGTTTAGACCTATTTAAGCTTTGTCTATGTTTGGTTCAATCATTTGTGCCATGTATTGCATGCCCTTTGTGTAGTCCTTTTAATGGCTTTGTGCCTTAGGCCCTCTTGCATGCTTTACTTGTGTTGTTTGAATGATTTGGCATCATTTCACACTTGATTTCAAAGCCTTTAGTGTTATCGCACTTCTATGTTTATTGCTTCTTCATCATGCTTAAGAGTTGTGTTCTTAGGCCTAGTTGATGGGCCAATACTTGTGCATGTTTGCCATGCCCTTTTGTGCCTTTGTTTTGGTATTATGGCCACTGATTTGGGCATGGCTGAGGTTTGTCCACTTTTGGTTTAAGTCCATTTAGCATTGTGTATGCCATGTAGTTCATCGCATTAAGTATGCCATATTGTTTGTATATTGATTCATCGCATTGTCTATGCCATGTTCTTTGCATTGTGTATGCTTATATTACATTGCATTGTGTATGCATGCCATTAGCCTTGTTAGGTTGTTCTTCATGTTGCATATGTTTGCATGCTTAAGTCATATTGCATATTTGCATGCTTGTGTTGCATTGCATTTTTGCATGCTCCATGTTACATAGCATTGTGCATGCCATGTTATGTGTTGCATTGTGTTTGGAATAGGTATTGGGCCGTGGAATTAGGGCAATATGACATCAAGTTCAGACCGCGCACCGCAATCAAGGCTCAAGCACTTGCTGACTTTGTGGCGAAATTTTCCCCTGGGATGCATCCAGTCTGCCCAATTGATTTGGTTGGTGCGGATTTAGCACAACCCATGGTTCTGGCAACAAAAACAAGTGTTGGTGCGCAAGAGGAGGAAGGGCAAAGAGCGACCGAACTAGCGAAGGCGAATAACTCGATGAAGGAGGAAGTCGACCAAGACGAGGAAAGAGACCAGAATGAGCCAACGAGAGACTTGGATTTGAGGAGTTCCCAAAACCCTTTTGATTGCTGGAAGCTGTTTGTCGGCGAGATGTGGAAACTCTTCGTCGATGGGGCACCCAACAGACATGGGGCCGGGCTGGGTATCGTGCTGACTTCACCGGACGGAATGATCATTGAACAAGCAATTACGCTCGGTTTCCCGGCGTCCAACAACGAGGCGGAATATGAAGCCCTCCTTGCCGGGCTAAGAAGCGCACTAAGAATGAAAGCGTCGGCCCTGATGGTGTTCAGTGATTCCAAGCTAGTGGTCAATCAAGTCTCAGGTGAGTACGAGGCCAGAGATGAAAGAATGGCCAAGTATCAGGCGCTGGCGCGTGCAGAGATCAAGAAGTTCGATGCCATAAGGGTAAAGCAGATCAACCGCGAAGGAAACAACACGGCTGATGAGTTGGCCGGGCTCGCTTCTACTCAGACATTTTTTCCCAACCCCTTGATGATAGAATTTTTACCGCGGCCAAGTATAGAAGAATCGGAAGTGGCTGAGGTACTTTGCACCGACTTGGGCCCTTCTTGGATGGATCCTATCATTATCTTCCTGAAAGATGGAATTCTACCAAAAGAAAAGAAGGCGGCACACAAGATCCGGGCAAAGTCAGAGCAGTTTTGGCTCTCCCCGTCCGGGGCTTTGTACAAGAAATCTTTCACCAGGCCGTATTTGAAATGTGTCCACCCCACCAAGGTGGAGGCTTTCCTCTATGAAATACACGAGGGCATCTGTGGCAGCCATACTGGGGGTATATCCTTGGCTTACCGAGCAATTTCTCAGGGTTATTGGTGGCCGCTCATGCAGGCAGATGCGCAAAAATATGTTCGCAGGTGCGAGAAGTGTCAGAAGTTCGCCCACCAGATCCACCAGCCGGCTAGAGATTTGCTCCCTCTCACAAGTCCTTGGCCGTTCACGCTTTGGGGGTTGGATATTGTTGGGCCACTCCCAGCTGCACTGGGCAACCGCAAGTTCTCCATCGCCGCCACCGACTATTTCACCAAGTGGGTTGAGGCGGAGCCACTAGCGACCATAAGGGAAAAGGACGTGAAGAAGTTTGTATGGCAAAACGTCATCACCCATTTCGGTATACCCAAGGCCCTCATCTCGGATAATGGCACTCAATTTGATAGTAAACTCTTTCGCGGATTTTGCGAAGAGTTGAAGATCGAGTTCTACAATTCGACGCCGGCCTATCCTCAGTCAAATGGTCAAGCAGAGGCCTCAAACAAGACCATCCTGGACGGGCTGAAGAAGCGGCTTGAGAAGGCTAAGGGCAAGTGGGCTGAAGAACTCCCTAATGTGCTCTGGGCATACCGCACTACGCCAAGGCGGTCGACCGGGGAAACACTTTTTGCTTTGGCCTACGGCATGGAGGCCGTCATCCCGTTGGAAATTGGCATGCCAACCATCCGCTCTGAAGGTTTCCAGCCAGATCTGAATAGTGAAGCGGTGGCATTGGAGTTGGACCTTGCTGAAGAAAGGAGGGAGCGAGCATTGATCCACATAGCAGCTTATCAACAAGAACTCTCCAAAAAGTACAACAAGGCTGTGCACCCTAGGCTGTTCAAGATTGGGGATTGGGTATTAAGAAAGGTGCTTGGCAACACAGTGGTCCCTGGCGAAGGAAAGCTCGGTGCAAATTGAGAAGGACCATACAAGGTGATTGGTCTTGCTGGTAAAGGGGCATACCATCTGGAAGATTTAGATGGCAAGGCTGTCCCCAGACTATGGAATACGGCCAACCTTAAGGTCTTTTACTTTTAAGATGTAATTTGCTTGTGTTGTTTAGCTTTTCTAGACCTTTAGCCTTTTGGCACTTAATGTAAAAGATAGCAATGCTTTTGTAATGAAAAATAGCCCTATTGTTGTTTGGTATTACATCTTTGTACAATGAATTCGCAAGGACGCAAGGCAATTATGGACGCTAGGGGCAAGGAGACCGACTTGAATGGGACCGGACTGATTTCTACTCGCTAGAATGGAAGCAGACCGCACAAACAGTTGGCGCATTGTCCAACGATATAATTGGTGTATAGACCAATTCGCATTAGGGCCAAGTTGGTTTTGCTCGCCCGGTTGAAATGTTGGCGTCATGACCAACTTAACTGAAACATTGGTGTTTTGCCTAATGTAAGGGCTGAGCTGATGTTGCTCGGCCCGGTTGGTATATTGGTGTCTTGTCCAATATGGAAAACGAGCGGAGTTTGCTCGGCAGAATTCGCAATGTTGGAGTTTTGTCCAACCGATAAAAAGCCGAGCTGACTTTGCTCGGCGGAAAAGAAATGTTGACGATCTACCCAACTGAAAGGGCGAGCTGGTTTTTGCTCGGTCACATTAAAGTACTGGAATTTTATAAAGTTTGAAAACCCGTCAAGGCCGAGCTGATTTTGCTCGGCCCCGTTCCTGAGCCCTTAATTTCGAACCGAGCATATTTTGCTCGGCATTTTAAAAGGTGCATTTGAAATTCCAAAAGAGCCGAGCTGCTAGTTGAAGTTTGAACACGTTTATGGAAATTTTGCACGTCGAAGCCAGAAAGCAATAGAAGTTAAACGGGCAAAAAGTTCAAATTTCATTGATTGACGAAATTGAGTTACAATTGTGGGGCCCTAGCCTGGTTACATTAAACAAAGAAAGACAAGAGATGAAAATAAAGCAGGAAAGAGGAGGTGGCATTTCAGTCCAACTCCAGATCAACCGTCTGCTCGGTGACCTCCAGAGTCTGCCCGGCCACCTCCGGACTATGCTCGGGCAGGCCTTCTTCCAACTCATCATCTGCGTCCTCCACCGCGACAACCTCCCGATCGGCTACTTGATCTTCAGCATCCTGAGACGCTTCAGGAGAAGTTTGCTCGGTTTGTTGCGTCGCGGCGGCGGCTTCTTCCGCGGCTTCCTTTTTGGCCTCCTTTATGAGCCTCTTCTGTGCGGCGCTCGCATAGGCCTGCATATAGTACGGTATGAAGGCCGCAGGCGGATGTAAGAACATGTCAGTATCCTGACCGAGGCCAACTTTCTCCACGGCAGCTTTCCAATCGCACTGGAAAAAGATGTCCTTGGTCTCCTGCACCTGCCGTTCATACGTTCTTTCGCCTTAAGCATAGCCCTTGTCTTCGGCGTTGCTAACCGCCTTATCTTTCTCCTCTTTATGGGCATCGCGCAGCGTCCTCAGCTCGGCGAGATACCGGGCTTTGGTCGACTTCACGGCCCGCTGTTTGTCCGCTTTAGCTCGGTTGACCTTTTGGCTCAGGTTATCTCGTTCGGCCTCAACTGCTTCCTGCGCGGCCTTAATCTTCGATATCTCGGCCTTTTGGGCCTTGTTCTCAGCTATTGCATCCCGCAGGCTCTGCCGCACTTTGATCATTCGGTTGTGGGCCAAATAGTTCTTTTGCGCGGCCTGAAAACAAGCGAGAGATCGTGAGTATTCAAGAAACCGAGCAAAAACCGAGTAAACAGTTTGACGCAAAGAATGGAGAACTTACCAGCACTATGGATTTTGCCGCCGAGCGGAGGACCTTGAGGTCGGAAAGCTCGTCGTGTTTTTTCATATCAGCGGGCAAGATCAACTCCTTGGTCAAATTGAAACCAAGCGAGTAGTCCTTGTCCGCGTAGACAGAGTCCTCAGCAGAAACTGCTCGGCCCTGGTATTTGAACTCGGGTGCCCAGACCGGGGGGGTGGCTGGGCCCTTGGATTTGTCAGTCTGTGGTTGCTCGGTCTGGTCCCCGAGCTCGGTAGAGACGTGATCGGTAGAGTCTTCATCTGCCAGACGCGGCCCGGTTTGCTCCTTCCTCAGCCGCTTCTTGGACCGACCAGCCGGTTGCTTGCTGACAAGTGCCAGCACTGTCCCTTCTTGTTGACCGGTGGGTGTGAAGGATGTCCCTCCAGTTACCTCCGGTTCTTGGGACTCGCCTTCTTCCCCGGTGATCATGGACTTGATGGCCCTGATTTTCGCCATTTCTTGCTCGGCGGTGAGTGGAACAAGCCTGATCGGTGGTAGGTTTGGATCTGGTTCTGGGGTTGGCGCACGTAGAAAGTCGGTAACCCGGCTCTTATGCGGTGCGGTGTAGTGGTAGGTCTGTTCGAAGCCGAGCAGTTTCGAAGCCTCCCTCTCCTCGGTAGGATGGCACAGCAGGGCTGTAATGGCCTCTTGGTTGGCCCGGTAGTAGTCTGCTGCTAGGTGCTTATCTGCAAAAAGAAGACAAGTGTTAGATCGGCATGGAAAGTAATTGATGCATAAAGAAAATAGCGCCGTCAGCCGAGCGACTCACTGGCACTGCCAAAATCCTTTCTAATATACCATCCCGGTATGGGTGCCTTGGTGTCCTCATAGCGACCGGACACCCACAAGAAGTCGTCGTCGTCGGTCTCCTTGTCCGGGTTGCCCTCTATTAGCTTTGTTCGGCCCTTCTTGACTTTGAGGTACCAGCAAAGCCCACTCTTATTTCTACTTAGACTATACTGGTGGAAAATTTCGGCCAGACCGAGATTGAGACCGAGCCTCCGGTTTAGCTCGACGACCCCGTTTATTATTTTGTAAGTTTTATTTGAAACTTGGGTCGGGCAAAGCCTTGTCTGCCTCAAAAATTCATAGATCAAGGGTTGAACCGGGAAGCGGAACCTTCCCTCTACTATTGATACGACGGTGAAGGGGCACCGGTCTAGATCCCCCCAAGGGGTGTTTCCCTTTTTGGCGAGCTCTAAGATGACGTCATCTGGGATGTTGTACTCCCTACGAAACTCGGCCATCGCACCGGGCGAGCTCCCCATGAATCGGTACTTGCCCATCTATCTCGGTTTTATTTGGTGAACTAACTGGTATCTCGGACGAAAGTGTTGGTGTGTTTGCTCGGATTTTGAGCTCCACCAATTATAGTGCTGGACTGGCTTGGTCGGTCCTATTTGTTCTGTATGTTAAAAAATAATTCCAAGGGTTAGCACGGCATAAATTGTGCGGCCCCTATGGGAATTGGCTCAGTGAAGGGATTATTAGTGTTTGGCCGGTTCGACCCCTACCTCAGCTAGGCTACTTGGTCAATTTCCTAGTTCGGTTCCAACTCTCCACTTCTGGCTCGGTCAAGGTCCAAGAAAGAGATCCTATAGCTCGGTCGGGTCTTATTTGTCGAACTAACTGAGCCTTTAGCCCGGTCAAGGCCCAAGTAACGACCTCAAGTTTTCGCCCCATTCAGTTCTATTACCGGTCTAATTGGTAGTTCGGCTCGGCCACAGCCTCTACGAGAAGCCACAAACCAGTTTTTTGCTCGGCCGTAGTACCATTTATGGATCTAAACGAGTGTTTAGCTCGGTTCTACCCAGATTCAAACTGTTCATCCCAGAAATAGGACGAACTCGTTCAAACCCAGGAGAAGCAAGGGGCACGAAAACCCAATCCATTCCTACTGTTTTTGTTTGCCCTAGGTTGTGCAAGATCTAAGCAAGGGAAAGCAACTCTAATGGCCCCAAGCATAAACATGAAGAATACAAGTACAAAAAAGTGGAAAACTTGAGGAACTCGAGTACGAGAGTTTGAAGGAAGGGTAGGAGGACTTACCAAATACCAGATGCAAGAACAGGGCCTCTCGAACTTGGTTGTGACCTCACGAGAAACAAAAAATAGGAACGGAAGCAGGTGAGATGCAGCAGCAGTGAGGGAAATTTCTCAGAGAATATGGAAGCTAGGGTTTAGGGTTTGTGTGGAAGAGAAGGTGAAAAGTGATGGGTTTTAGGCCCTTCGTTGGAATACAAAAGAGGGGGGAAGGAACCCAAACAGCTGCGCCGTTTGAATTCTGCGCGTGCAGAACAGCTGGCTGCACGACCCAATGGCGTGAAGCCACATGGCACTGGGAACACGACTGTCAGTACGGCTGTACGACCTTTGACGGGACTGCGGAGGAAATGGCTAACCAAATGGGACAGCTCGGGGACAGGTATGCCCCCAATCGTGCTCGGCTTGGTAATGGCGCAACTCATCCGTTAGCTCGGTCACGATGGTAACCCCAATCACGACTAGGTCGGATGGGGCTAAGGGGCAATTGAGAGGAGAGATTTGCGCGTTAGTACGGCCGAGCTACGATAACGCCGATCATGACGAATCGCACGGCGCCAAGCAGACTCCTCTCTTGCGCGGCCCAGCGGCCTGACTTGCATGGCCGGAGAGGTCGGCCGACCAGACACAAATCAATGCTTGGCCGAGATATGACGCGGCCGAGCGCGCAGCGGTGTCTGATGACCAAGCTAAGAGGAGCCCAGACTAGACTTGAGATGCGATTGGCGCCGGCATGCGCCTAACCGTTCGGCCAAGATGGACGGGCTTCATGTGATCAAGAATAAGGAACGGTGGAAGTCCAGCGTGCTTCATGGCCGATCAATCAGGTGGGACCGATCATAAATAGCCCGGTCATAAGCATGACACTTTGGCCCCTTTGCCAAGTGACAGGTCGGCGTTTATTAGCTCGGTTGTGTGCTTGTGGAGAATTGCCTCCACAAGGAACCGGCCGGTCGTGGTACTCCGGTTAAGTGTGCCACCTGGGCCAATGGCGTGAGGGAGAGGACATCTGCTTCACGCACGCACCAATACCGTTTGGCAGTTCTGTATGTGCTAGTTGGAGGACAAAATCTTTACACGCGTAAGGTGGTGAGAGGCAAGCACTGCCACCTGTCCAGGGAAGGACAACAGAGGTAGTGCTTGCATGATCTTGGGGCTGCATGGCTAGCCTAGAAATAGTGGAGGAAGGTGAACGTTAGAGGTATGCAACTTCTTCCGCAAAGAGAATACTCTCTCTCTAACAGTCTTCTTCTTTCCCAAGAAGACTGACTTGATCGTCGGAGGGTCTATCCGGCACACCACCGCCGGGCAGCTCACCGTTTCTGTGTTGCCAGGTAAACGCCGTCAAGAGAAGCTTAGAGTACAAGGAGTATGGAAAGCAGAGGATATTACGCCCCCGTACAATTTCAATTAAAAATTCATGTAATTTTATTGTTGTATGAGAATAGTTATGAATTTTATTTTTTCTATTAATTCTATTAAATAAAAAAATTCTAATAAAGGGAATTTTTTTACTTCTAAAATTGTAAGGGGTAATTCATATTTTAAATAAACTTTAGCAGTGTATTTGTAATATACCTTATTTTTTAAATTCTTAAATTATCAATTTTGCTAGTACATTTAGAAAGAAATTAATATAGTCAGAAAGTCAAGGCAATAAGACATACAAAAGAAAATCAAATTTCCTTCTTATTCTATCTACTTTTTACATGTTCGTATATTCTATTGAAGACATTCAGTTCAAATTAGTAACAATTAATGCCTAATTTAATAGATAATGCTATGGTGCACACCCTTAAATGCGAGTTATGATATTTATAAGTTTGATTACCACAAATATTATAATTTAATCCTATGAGAATCATAACTAAAAAACAAATGAGTTATTTATAACCAAATAATATATAAGGTATAACCAAAGAGTTATTAGATCGTAATCAAAATAATATCATAATCAATAGTCATAACTAACATAACAATAGGTCACAACAAAAAATGACAAAAATCATAACTACGAGCTCATATGGTGCATAAAGGGGATGTGTACCATAGAATTTCTATCTAAGTGTCTATGATAAGTAACAAGTCATACATACATATATGTACTTTGTGAACCTATCTTGTTTGAAAATTATTTGATGTTTGAGTATGTTGTGAATAATATTTATATACATGTTCGATTAGACCGACCAAGTTTTGGAATTACAAGGCTAATATATTCCTACGAAAGTAAGTGCAGTGCATAAAAGTAAAGTGCAAAAATTTAAAGACAAATGAAATTGACAAAGATATAGAGTTTGGATTTGGTTTGGAGTCTTTTCAGTCTTTACTTTCATTTATTTATAGTCTTTTCTTGGTGCCTTCGAAGCAGTTAGACTGTCATCTTCTGTAATGATCTCTGTTCTCCCTTTTGCTAATCCTTAGGGCCATGAATTCCTCTTTGTGCGTGTATAACTGGTTATAACCGTTTCTTTGCTAGCTTCCTCTTTATATGCCATTCACGTGTTGTTTAGCATCTCCATTGGTTGAAAACTTGCATTTGTAGCTCACATGAGTACCTTCGAAGGTGAGACTCTTCATTATTTTGATATATCCCACATGGTATGCTTTGCTTGCCACGTGTCACCTTTACATTGGATGGTTTAAATGTGGCGCCAACAATATTTCTAAAAATTATGATTCTAAATCGAACTGAACCATCACTACAACAAAAAAGGCCTTTGGTGACAGACCGATTTTGTCTCCAAACATCAAAATTTCGTCACTAAAGTGATCTGTGACGAAAAAAATTTGTCACCACGTTTGTGGCCTATACATCGTCACTAAAAGTACCTGGTGACGAAAAACAGTTTCGTCGCCTATTTTTCATTTTTGGCGACGAAATGTTTCGTCTCCAAATGTTGAGTTTTTCGTCCTCTAAAACATCAATTTCGTCACCAAAACTAAATAATATTTTATTTTAATTGTTTTTTGCGACGAAATATTTCGTCACCAAATATATTTTTAGTGATGAAAGTTTTCCTCACCAATGATATGGATTAAGGTGACAAAAAAAGTCGTCACTAAAATAAGCAAAAAAGAAAATTATTCAATGACAAAAAATATTTTGTCACCAAATATTTCAATTTAGCAACGAAATATTCAGCAAATGTGGCGAAATTATTTTTTTCGTACTATATCATTAGTGACAAAATTATTCGTCATATTTTTTGAAAACTAATAGCGACATTTTTTATTTCGTCACTAATAAAAATTAAAAATTTTGAAAATGGGGTTACTATTTTCTTCCGAAATTTTTCTTTTCAGTAACAATTCCCTGTGCATTTCAATAACCTGTTCAATAAAATATCTATTATAAATCAATACAAAAATCTGTTCATTTTCATAAACATCACAATCGAATTTTAGCACTATCCACAAAAATACAATATGAACTGCATGTGGATTATAAACATGTCTCCTAATATCCACAAAAAAAGTCTATTAATATCCACAAAAATATAATATCAACCATATGCAGATTACCAAACACATCTCCTAATCTCCAACAAAAAACATGTCTACTAATATCAACAAAAATAAAATATCAAGGGCGAATTACCAAACGTGCCCCGTAATACCAACAAAAATATAAAATTTATAACACAACCAAAATACATGTAAGGTAATATGAATAGAAACACAAAATGAGCTACCATCTGCCCTCTAAATTACCAAACATGTCCATATCAAATCTCCAATCTGCAAAAAAATGAAACACAAAAAAAAAAAAATTGCCAGTTAGACAATTATTATTTTATCCATAAAATATACAATTTAACATGCATTTTTCAAATTAGTTTTCATACTGGGAGTCCCGTTCTAGTTCCGTAAGTTTTCACAACTCACATTGGTCTCTCCCGAGGTGTTTGAGGTGTTCCCCGGACCGTCTCGTGGCTGTTGCATGATTTTGGCTCCGGAAGGCCTATTTTCAAGCTTAAGTGTGAAAAAGTGCATTTTTGGACTTAGTTTTCAAACCGGGAGTCTCGTGCTAGTTTCGTAATTTTTCACAAATCACATTAGTCCCTTCCGAGGTGTTTAAGGTGTTTCCTGGGCAATCTAGTGGCTGTTGCACGATTTTGGCCTCCGATGGCCTATTTTTGAAGCTTAAGTGTGAAAAAGTGCATTTTTGGACTTAATTTTCAAACCGGGAGTCCCGTGCTAGTTTTGCAAGTTTTCACAACTCACATTGGTCCCTCCCGAGGTGTTTGAGGTGTTCTCCGGGCCAAAATCGTGCACGTCTCATGGCTGTTGCACGATTTTGGCCTCCGGTGGCCTATTTTGAAGCTTAAGTGTGAAAAAGTGCAATTTTGGACTTAGTTTTCAAACTGGGAGTCCCATGCTAGTTTCGTATGTTTCCACAACTCACATTGGTCCATCTCGAGGTGTTTGAGGTGTTCCCCGGGCCGTCTCGTGGCTGTTGCATGATTTTGGCCTTCGATGGTCTATTTTTGAAGTTTAAGTGTGAAAAAGTGCATTTTTGGACTTAGTTTTCAAATTGGGAATCTCGTGCTACTTCCGTAAGTTTTCATAACTCACATTAGTCCTTCTCGAGGTGTTTGAGGTGTTACCCGGGCCGCCTCCTGGTTGTTACATGATTTTTGCCTCTAATGGCCTATTTTTCAAGCTTAATTGTAGCTGAAAGTGCATTTTTGGACTTAGTTTTCGAACCGGGAGTCCCGTGCTAGTTCTGTAAGTTTCCACAACTCACATTAGTCCCTGCCGAGGTGTTTGAGGTGTTTCCCGGGCCGTCTCACGGCTGTTGCACGATTTTGGCCTTCGATGGCCTATTTTTGAAGCTTAAGTGTGA